ACAGAGTGAGCAGGTAAGACAGAGTGAGAAGGTGAGACAGGTAGAGTGAGCAGGTAAGACAGACAGAGTGAGCAGGTGAGACAGACAGAGTGAGCAGGTGAGACAGGCAGAGTGAGCAGGTGAGACAGGCAGAGTGAGCAGGTGAGACAGGTAGAGTGAGAAGGTGAGACAGGCAGAGTGAGCAGGTGAGACAGGCAGAGTGAGCAGACAGGCAGAGTGAGCAGGTGAGACAGACAGAGTGAGCAGGTGAGACAGGTAGAGTGAGCAGGTAAGACAGACAGAGTGAGCAGGTAAGACAGAGTGAGCAGGTGAGACAGGCAGAGTGAGCAGGTGAGACAGACAGAGTGAGCAGGTGATACAGGCAGAGTGAGCAGGTGAGACAGGTAGAGTGAGCAGGTGAGACAGGTAGAGTGAGCAGGTGAGACAGACAGAGTGAGCAGGTGAGACAGGCAGAGTGAGCAGGTGAGACAGGCAGAGTGAGAAGGTGAGACAGGCAGAGTGAGCAGGTGAGACAGGCAGAGTGAGCAGACAGGCAGAGTGAGCAGGTGAGACAGGCAGAGTGAGCAGGTGAGACAGACAGAGTGAGCAGGTGAGACAGGCAGAGTGAGCAGGTGAGACAGGCAGAGTGAGCAGGTGAGACAGGCAGAGTGAGCAGGTGAGACAGGCAGAGTGAGAAGGTGAGACAGGCAGAGTGAGCAGGTGAGACAGGCAGAGTGAGCAGACAGGCAGAGTGAGCAGGTGAGACAGACAGAGTGAGCAGGTGAGACAGGCAGAGTGAGTAGGTGAGACAGAGTGAGCAGGTGAGACAGACAGAGTGAGCAGGTGAGACAGGCAGAGTGAGCAGACAGGCAGAGTGAGCAGGTGAGACAGGCAGAGTGAGCAGGTGAGACAGGCAGAGTGAGCAGACAGGCAGAGTGAGCAGGTGAGACAGGCAGAGTGAGCAGACAGGCAGAGTGAGCAGGTGAGACAGGCAGAGTGAGCAGGTGAGACAGGCAGAGTGAGCAGGTGAGACAGGCAGAGTGAGCAGACAGGCAGAGTGAGCAGGTGAGACAGGCAGAGTGAGCAGGTGAGACAGGCAGAGTGAGAAGGTGAGACAGGCAGAGTGAGCAGGTGAGACAGGCAGAGTGAGCAGACAGGCAGAGTGAGCAGGTGAGACAGACAGAGTGAGCAGGTGAGACAGGCAGAGTGAGTAGGTGAGACAGAGTGAGCAGGTGAGACAGACAGAGTGAGCAGGTGAGACAGGCAGAGTGAGCAGGTGAGACAGGCAGAGTGAGCAGGTGAGACAGGCAGAGTGAGCAGGTGAGACAGGTAGAGTGAGAAGGTGAGACAGGTAGAGTGAGCAGGTGAGACAGGTAGAGTGAGCAGGTAAGACAGACAGAGTGAGCAGGTAAGACAGAGTGAGAAGGTGAGACAGGTAGAGTGAGCAGGTGAGACAGGTAGAGTGAGCAGGTAAGACAGACAGAGTGAGCAGGTAAGACAGAGTGAGCAGGTGAGACAGGCAGAGTGAGCAGGTGAGACAGACAGAGTGAGCAGGTGATACAGGCAGAGTGAGCAGGTGAGACAGGTAGAGTGAGCAGGTGAGACAGGTAGAGTGAGCAGGTGAGACAGACAGAGTGAGCAGGTGAGACAGGCAGAGTGAGCAGGTGAGACAGGCAGAGTGAGAAGGTGAGACAGGCAGAGTGAGCAGGTGAGACAGGCAGAGTGAGCAGACAGGCAGAGTGAGCAGGTGAGACAGGCAGAGTGAGCAGGTGAGACAGACAGAGTGAGCAGGTGAGACAGGCAGAGTGAGCAGGTGAGACAGGCAGAGTGAGCAGGTGAGACAGGCAGAGTGAGCAGGTGAGACAGGCAGAGTGAGAAGGTGAGACAGGCAGAGTGAGCAGGTGAGACAGGCAGAGTGAGCAGACAGGCAGAGTGAGCAGGTGAGACAGACAGAGTGAGCAGGTGAGACAGGCAGAGTGAGTAGGTGAGACAGAGTGAGCAGGTGAGACAGACAGAGTGAGCAGGTGAGACAGGCAGAGTGAGCAGGTGAGACAGGCAGAGTGAGCAGACAGGCAGAGTGAGCAGGTGAGACAGGCAGAGTGAGCAGGTGAGACAGGCAGAGTGAGCAGACAGGCAGAGTGAGCAGGTGAGACAGGCAGAGTGAGCAGACAGGCAGAGTGAGCAGGTGAGACAGGCAGAGTGAGCAGGTGAGACAGGCAGAGTGAGCAGGTGAGACAGGCAGAGTGAGCAGACAGGCAGAGTGAGCAGGTGAGACAGGCAGAGTGAGCAGGTGAGACAGGCAGAGTGAGAAGGTGAGACAGGCAGAGTGAGCAGGTGAGACAGGCAGAGTGAGCAGACAGGCAGAGTGAGCAGGTGAGACAGACAGAGTGAGCAGGTGAGACAGGCAGAGTGAGTAGGTGAGACAGAGTGAGCAGGTGAGACAGACAGAGTGAGCAGGTGAGACAGGCAGAGTGAGCAGGTGAGACAGGCAGAGTGAGCAGACAGGCAGAGTGAGCAGGTGAGACAGGCAGAGTGAGCAGGTGAGACAGACAGAGTGAGCAGGTGAGACAGGCAGAGTGAGCAGACAGGCAGAGTGAGCAGGTGAGACAGGCAGAGTGAGCAGACAGGCAGAGTGAGCAGGTGAGACAGGCAGAGTGAGCAGGTGAGACAATGTTACCTGTGTCTTGTAGAGCTCACTAGTCAGGGCATCCTTCACTTGCTGGCATTCTCTTGAAGGCACTGAGTAGCTCAAGTTGATGATCAACTGGTGCTTGGGAGGTGATGTGTCTGCAAGCAAATATTGTGTTGGTTCATTCAACATGGTCATGACAGACCAACAACATGACAAACAATAACATGACAGACAACAACATGACTGACCAACAACATGACAGACCAACAACATGACAGACCAACAACATGACAGACCAACAACATGACAGACAACAACGTGACAGACCAACAACATGACAGACAGAACATGACTGACAGACCAACAACATGACAGACAACAACATGACAGACAACAACATGACAGACCAACAACATGACAGACAGACCAACAACATGACTGACAGACCAACAACATGACAGATCAACAACATGACAGACCAACAACATGACAGACAGAACATGACTGACAGACCAACAACATGACTGACAGACCAACAACATGACTGACAGACCAACAACATGACTGACAGAACAACACCATGACAGACCAACAACATGACTGACAGAACATAACAGACAGACCAAAACATGACAGACAGAACATAACAGACAGACCAACAACATGACAGACCAACAACATGACTGACAGAACATAACAGACAGACCAAAACACGACAGACAGAACATAACAGACAGACCAACAACATGACAGACCAACAACATGACTGACAGAACATAACAGACAGACCAAAACATGACAGACAGAACATAACAGACAGACCAACAACATGACAGACCAACAACATGACTGACAGAACATAACAGACAGACCAAAACATGACAGACAGAACATAACAGACAGACCAATAACATGACAGATCAACAACACGACTGACAGACCAACAACATAACAGACAGACCAACTAACAGACAGACCAAAACATGACAGACAGAACATAACAGACAGACCAACAACATGACAGACCAACAACATGACAGACCAACAACATGACTGACAGAACATAACAGACAGAACAACTTGACAGACCAACAACATAACAGACAGACCAACACCATGACAGACAACATACCCCCACAAGGTGATATCCTGTAAGGGAGAAATTTGTTTGGAGGGTCCCAGTTCCCCACTGGCCCGCAGGTGTGTATGACGGGACTGGGGATCGAGGGGGCATAGTTGGCCCGACAGGTGGGCCCACACTGTCTGTACTTGCTGTACGTTGCTGGACTACACAGCATGTTCTCAACATTGGCTGGACGTTCAGGGTCACTACACTCATCATCTGCAACACATTTGTTTAGTCAGGACCAGGCAACATATTGCGTGCTACAGAAATACATGTCACTAAACAAGTTAACTGGCGCAATGTTGCAAGACAGACTTACTTTGAACAAATATATCAAACAAACATAGGGCTTTGTTGCCATCACTGTTGGTTGCCTCAATGGCCACGTGGTATTTGCCCCAAACAAAAGTGCTGCCTTCATGACAAAATACAATCAGTTTTAACATATTATTTATAAGTGGTGTTGAATAAATATGCATGAAATCGTTAATTTTAAAATCTCCAACAACTTGTGCAATATCCACTGTCTTTAGCCAAATCCTCCATAACTTAAACCACACCCCAGTGATACTCTCACTGTCTTAAACCACACCTCACACCCATACTAAACCACACCTCACACCCATTCTAAACCACACCTCACACACTAAACCACACCTCACCCACACTAAACCACACCTCACCCACACTAAACCACACCTCACCCACACTAAACCACAACTCACCCACAACTCACCCACACTAAACCACAACTCACCCACACTAAACCACAACTCACCCACACTAAGCCACAACTCACCCACACTAAACCACAACTCACCCACACTAAACCACAACTCACCCACACTAAACCACACCTCACACACTAAACCACACCTCACCCACACTAAACCACAACACACCCATTCTAAACCACAACTCACCCACACTAAACCACAACTCACCCACACTAAACCACACCTCACCCACACTAAACCACACCTCCCACAGACTTAACCTCACTAAACCACACATCACACAGACTTAACCACACTAAACCACACCCCTTACCCACACTAAATCACACCTCACCCACACTAAACCACACCTCACACAGACTTAACCACACTAAACCACACCCCTTACTCACACTAAACCACACCTCCCACACAGGATATCCCACCTTAAGGCGTGTCATTAAGAGCGGTACCTGATTGAATGGAAGCGACCTGCGCAGGTTGGCCAGTGAAGCTGGGTGGATCCCAAAAGATTTGGGTCAACCTCTCCGTGTTGTATTTCAGCTGATCCCTGGGGCAAGATCCATTCACAACTTTTACCATGTTTTTACCTACAATGGCATTAGATGGATTACACAGATTAGATGGATTAGACGGATAGACAGTTTTATAAAATCAAACTAATTAGTTTAATATTATAACAATCCATAAGACAGTTTTATAAAACCAAACTAATTAGCCTAGTAAACCGACCTTAAGTACAAATTAGCCAATTAACAAACAAAATTGAAATGCTTGTACAAAAGTAACAGGACAGAAGCAACTCACCAGGTTGTACAGGTGGGGTAGTTGATGTAGCCAAACTGACAACTTACCAGGTTGCTGTGTGCAGGTGGGGTAGTTGATGTAGCCAAACTGACAACTCACCAGGTTGTACAGGTGGGGTAGTTGATGTAGCCAAACTGACAACTTACCAGGTTGCTGTGTGCAGGTGGGGTAGTTGATGTAGCCAAACTGACAACTCACCAGGTTGTACAGGTGGGGTAGTTGATGTAGCCAAACTGACAACTTACCAGGTTGCTGTGTGCAGGTGGGGTAGTTGATGTAGCCAAACTGACAACTCACCAGGTTGCTGTGTGCAGGTGGGGTAGTTGATGTAGCCAAACTGACAACTTACCAGGTTGTTGTGTGCAGGTGGGGTAGTTGATGTAGCCAAACTGACAACTTACCAGGTTGTTGTGTGCAGGTGGGGTAGTTGATGTAGCCAAACTGACAACTCACCAGGTTGTACAGGTGGGGTAGTTGATGTAGCCAAACTGACAACTCACCAGGTTGCTGTGTGCAGGTGGGGTAGTTGATGTAGCCAAACTGACAACTTACCAGGTTGCTGTGTGCAGGTGGGGTAGTTGATGTAGCCAAACTGACAACTTACCAGGTTGCTGTGTGCAGGTGGGGTAGTTGATGTAGCCAAACTGACAACTTACCAGGTTGCTGTGTGCAGGTGGGGTAGTTGATGTAGCCAAACTGACAACTTACCAGGTTGTTGTGTGCAGGTGGGGTAGTTGATGTAGCCAAACTGACAACTTTGATCCGCCTGAGAGGGAACTAATCTCCTGACTCCCACAGTATAGGCCAGCTCAGAACTCCAGCGCAGAATTGAGTTGGCAAAAAGTGCCGACACATTATTGTTGCCCACAATGGTCACCTGAAGCAATGGAACGTCTTTAAACATTCTTAAAGATGGCAGCTCTCTAGAGGCTTCAATTTATTCCACCCACCACTAGCCAGATGTATCAACGCCCCCCCCCCTCCCCAAGCCAGATGTATCAATTACCCCCCCCCCCCTAGCCAGATGTATCCATTACCCCCCCCCCCAGCCAGATGTATCAATTACCCCCCCCCCCCGCCAGATGTATCAACGCCCCCCCCCCCCAAGCCAGATGTATCAACACCCCACCCCCCAAGCCTGACGTATTAATGTACCCACATCATCTCTGTGCCCCCCCCCAAGCCTGATGTATTAATGTACCCACATCATCTCTGTGCCCCCCCCCCCAAGCCTGATGTATTAATGTACCCACATCATCTCTGTGCCCCCCCCCCCAAGCCTGATGTATTAATGTACCCACATCATCTCTGTGCCCCCCCCCCCCAAGCCTGATGTATTAATGTACCCACATCATCTCTGTGCCCCCCCCCCCCCAAGCCTGATGTATTAATGTACCCACATCATCTCTGTGCCCCCCCCCCCCAGCCTGATGTATTAATGTACCCACATCATCTCTGTGCCCCCCCCCCCCCAAGCCTGATGTATTAATGTACCCACATCATCTCTGTGCCCCCCCCCCCCCCCAAGCCTGATGTATTAATGTACCCACATCATCTCTGTGCCCCCCCCCCCAAGCCTGATGTATTAATGTACCCACATCATCTCTGTGCCCCCCCCCCCCCCAAGCCTGACGTATTAATGTACCCACATCATCTCTGTGGCCCCCCCCCCAAGCCTGATGTATTAATGTACCCACATCATCTCTGTGCCCCCCCCCCCAAGCCTGATGTATTAATGTACCCACATCATCTCTGTGCCCCCCCCCCCAAGCCTGATGTATTAATGTACCTACATCATCTCTGTGCCCCCCCCCCCCCCAAGCCTGACGTATTAATGTACCCACATCATCTCTGTGGCGCAGCACATTGGAGTAAATGGTGACCCTTGAAAGCTTGCCATAAAATCCTTCTCCTTCAACAGCTGCATTCTGGTTCAAGTCATATTTACTTCCTAGTACTAGCCAGAGGCTGAGGAAAGAACAAAAGTAGAGAATATTTTGACTAGCCAGAGGCTGAGGATAGAACAAAAGTAGAGAATATTTTGACTAGTCAGAGGCTGAGGATAGAACAAAAGTAGAGAATATTTTGACTAGTCAGAGGCTGAGGATAGAACAAAAGTAGAGAATATTTTGACTAGCCAGAGGCTGAGGATAGAACAAAAGTAGAGAATATTTTGACTAGTCAGAGGCTGAGGATAGAACAAAAGTAGAGAATATTTTGACTAGTCAGAGGCTGAGGATAGAACAAAAGTAGAGAATATTTTGACTAGTCAGAGGCTGAGGATAAAATGTATTGACTAGAAAGAGGCTGAGTGCTATATGAAGCTTAAATTGCCAGAGACTGATTTTGCTTCCATTACAGTACACTGTTAACAGAACTTAAGGTGACCTCATGAATTGCTACCACTATTTAAAATATTTTTAAAATGTAAAATTTTGTTCATTGAAATAAATTTTCAGCTTAACTAGATCAGGCTAGCTAAATAAGGTAAAGCTGTGAGTCTACATGTTTTTTAAGCCTAGGTTTTCTTTTTGTCCCAAAATCCCAACTTACTAGACATCCAATGTGGCAAGTGGAATAGGAATAGCTTGGCTGTTGATGGTGTCAACAATCAAGTTGATCTGGCCAGTTCCAGCATTGACATTCAGCACCAGGTAGTGCCACTTGCCGTCATTGTACCTGGTGCTGTGAGTGTAGGAGACATTGTGGCCTCCATGGCTGTAGTAAACACTTCGTTCATCCAGGGACAACACAAGTTGCTTCCCTCGCAGGCTGTTGGCTTGGCTGGGGGACGATCAGAACATTTGAATTTACATTTGAATGGCGTCTTGCACACATGGTACAGTAAACAATCAACACTCACAGTACAGTAAACAATTGACACTCATGGTACAGTAAACAATCAACACTCACAGTACAGTAAACAATCAACATTCATGGTACAGTAAACAATCAACACTCACGGTACAGTCAACAAAAGTTTCAACACTCACGGTACAGTAAACAAAAGTTTCATCACTCACGGTACAGTCAACAAAAGTTTCAACACTCACGGTACAGTCAACAAAAGTTTCAACACTCATGGTGCAGTAAACAAAAGTTTCAACACTCATGGTACAGTAAACAATCAACACTCATGGTACAGTTAACAAAAGTTTCAACACTCACAGTACAGTAAACAATCAACACCCATGGTACAGTAAATGATCAACACTCACAGTACAGTAAACAATCAACACTCACGGTACAGTAAACAATCAACACTCACTGTACAGTAAACAACCAACAATCACGGTACAGTAAACAATCAACACTCACGGTACAGTAAACAATCAACACTCATGGTACAGTAAACAATCAACACTCAAGGTACAGTAAACAATCAACACTCACGGTACAGTAAACAATCAACACTCACGGTACAGTAAACAATCAACACTCACGGTACAGTAAACAATCAACACTCACGGTACAGTAAACAATCAACACTCACGGTACAGTAAACAATCAACACTCACGGTACAGTAAACAATCAACACTCACGGTACAGTAAACAATCAACACTCACGGTACAGTAAACAATCAACACTCACGGTACAGTAAACAATCAACACTCACAGTACAGTAAACAATCAACACTCACGGTACAGTAAACAATCAACACTCACGGTACAGTAAACAATCAACACTCACGGTACAGTAAACAATCAACACTCACGGTACAGTAAACAATCAACACTCACGGTACAGTAAACAATCAACACTCACGGTACAGTAAACAAAGACAAGAATGTGCCTTTGCCGTTGGTCTCCCCAAACTGCAGCCAGACAGAGATGCTAAAGTTGGAGCTGTTGAGGGCAACAGGATACCTCAGGTACGCCATCCCTACCCTCCTTTTATCCTCAAACAGCAGATCAAAGTCTTGGTTCCAACCTGCAGCAACCATTTAGTCAAATCATGACCTAACCAACACCAAATGTTTTCTTATATCATGACCTAACCAACACCAAATGTTTTCTTATATCATGACCTAACCAACACCAACTGTTTTCTTATATCATGACCTAACCAACACCAAATTTTTTCTTATATCATGACCTAACCAACACCAAATGTTTTCTTATATCATGACCTAACCAACACCAAATGTTTTCTTATATCATGACCTAACCAACACCAACTGTTTTCTTATATCATGACCTAACCAACACCAAATGTTTTCTTATATCATGACCTAACCAACACCAACTGTTTTCTTATATCATGACCTAACCAACACCAACTGTTTTCTTATATCATGACCTAACCAACACCAAATGTTTTCTTATATCATGACCTAACCAACACCAAATGTTTTCTTATATCATGACCTAACCAACACCAACTGTTTTCTTATATCATGACCTAACCAACACCAAATGTTTTCTTATATCATGACCTAACCAACACCAAATGTTTTCTTATATCATGACCTAACCAACACCAACTGTTTTCTTATATCATGACCTAACCAACACCAACTGTTTTCTTATATCATGACCTAACCAACACCAAATGTTTTCTTATATCATGACCTAACCAACACCAAATGTTTTCTTATATCATGACCTAACCAACACCAACTGTTTTCTTATATCATGACCTAACCAACACCAAATGTTTTCTTATATCATGACCTAACCAACACCAAATGTTTTCTTATATCATGACCTAACCAACACCAACTGTTTTCTTATATCATGACCTAACCAACACCTATTGTTTTCTTATATCATGACCTAACCAACACCAAATGTTTTCTTATATCATGACCTAACCAACACCAACTGTTTTCTTATATCATGACCTAACCAACACCAAATGTTTTCTTATATCATGACCTACCTAACACCAGCCATTTTCTTATATCATGACCAAACCAACACCAAATGTTTTCTTATATCATGACCTACCTAACACCAGCCATTTTCTTATATCATGACCTACCTAACACCAGCCATTTTCTTATATCATGACCTAACCAACACCAACCATTTTCTTATATCATGACCTACCTAACACCAGCCATTTTCTTATATCATGACCTAACCAACACCAACTGTTTTCTTATATCATGACCTAACCAACACCAAATGTTTTCTTATATCATGACCTAACCAACACCAAATGTTTTCTTATATCATGACCTAACCAACACCAACTGTTTTCTTATATCATGACCTAACCAACACCAAATGTTTTCTTATATCATGACCTAACCAACACCAAATGTTTTCTTATATCATGACCTAACCAACACCAACTGTTTTCTTATATCATGACCTAACCAACACCAACTGTTTTCTTATATCATGACCTAACCAACACCAAATGTTTTCTTATATCATGACCTAACCAACACCAAATGTTTTCTTATATCATGACCTAACCAACACCAACTGTTTTCTTATATCATGACCTAACCAACACCAAATGTTTTCTTATATCATGACCTAACCAACACCAAATGTTTTCTTATATTATGACCTAACCAACACCAACTGTTTTCTTATATCATGACCTAACCAACACCAATTGTTTTCTTATATCATGACCTAACCAACACCAAATGTTTTCTTATATCATGACCTAACCAACACCAACTGTTTTCTTATATCATGACCTAACCAACACCAAATGTTTTCTTATATCATGACCTACCTAACACCAGCCATTTTCTTATATCATGACCAAACCAACACCAAATGTTTTCTTATATCATGACCTACCTAACACCAGCCATTTTCTTATATCATGACCTACCTAACACCAGCCATTTTCTTATATCATGACCTAACCAACACCAACCATTTTCTTATATCATGACCTACCTAACACCAGCCATTTTCTTATATCATGACCTAACCAACACCAACTGTTTTCTTTAATCATGACCTAACCAACACCAAATGTTTTCTTATATCATTGTGACCTGCTTAGGTCTCTTTATTTCTTTTTATTATTTAGTCTCCTGAGTTTTATTATTGACCTTGGGAGAATTATCAGTTCATTGGTACGCAGCGGTCAACTGAACTCAGTCACGGCAGGTGACTTGGATTTTAATCCTTGTCAGAACCTCGGCAATGGTTGTTTAGTATTGAGGATCCTTAACCGATCCTCGACCAATGGCCTTGCTACATTATAGTAGCCTCCCTTGGGTTTGATCTCTGATAAAAAAAAGGTCGAGACACAACTTCCCGAGTGGACTTTGACCTAGACTCCGGGAGGCAACAGTGCGGTGTGTGTGTGTGTGGTTTTTACTTGAATATTCAGTTCGTGGTGATATATATTAGTTCCTCACCATATGAGTTGTTTATCACTCCAGTGTTTAAGATACATTGTTTAGGTGTGATATTTCACAAAGTTGTGTGATTTTTCCAGTGTTAATGAGTTATTGCTTAGGTGTGTTATTTCACCAAGTATATGATCTTTCCAGGACTTATGATATTGTTTAAGTGTGATATTACACCAAGTTGTGTGATTATTCAAATGATTATGAGATGTTGCTTAGGTGTGTTATTTCACCAAGTTGTATGGTCATTCCAGGTTTATGATATTGTATTTAGGTGTGGTATTACACCAAGGCTTTACCTGTGACTTTAATCTCTAATTGTTAGAGATCTTACAGTATCATTGAGTTATCTGTGAGTGATATTTTTATGGTTTATTTATTGCTCTTAATGAAGTTTACTTTGGTGTTGACTTATTGACTATTGTACATTCTTGTGCATAAATTAAAATAGTAATTGTCAGTTTAACCTAAGTTGAGTTTCATCTATCCTACGTGTCAATACCCCTAGACTTTTGAGACAAGCCCACGTAGATGTAGTTGTGCTCATACTGTCCAGAAAGGTTTCTGTCTGACTACTTTAAACGAACCTGGGGACGTTCGCCGATTCTGCGTCTGACAGAAGGCGTCCGTTACATCATGACCTACCTAACACCAGCCATTTTCTTATATCATGACCTACCTAACACCAGCCATTTTCTTATATCATGACCTAACAAGCATGAATCTACTTACCCCTGTCACAATTCTCTCCGTCAGTATCCAATGGACATCTACAGAAAGTTTTGCCTTCCATGTCAATACACTGGGCACTAGGGACACATGTGCCTGGGCTACAGTCGTTTATGTTTATCTGGCACAAGTCTCCAGTGTAACCTGTTCATGAGTGGTCATCAGTAGCTCAGTGTTGGCACAGATTGTCAGTGATGTCAGAGATTGTCAGTGATGGCAGAGATTGTCAGTGTTGGCACAGATTGTCAAGTAGTTAACAATTGGACATAAGATGAAATTGGTCTAGTGGACAACCACAGACAACCAGAGATATTGGACAACCACAGACAACCAGAGATATTGGACAACCAGAGATATTGGACAACCACAGACAACCAGAGATATTGGACAACCACAGACAACCAGAGATATTGGACAACCACAGACAACCAGAGATATTGGACAACCACAGACAACCAGAGATATTGGACAACCACAGACAACCAGAGATATTGGACAACCAGAGATATTGGACAACCACAGACAACCAGAGATATTGGACAACCAGAGATATTGGACAACCACAGACAACCAGAGATATTGGACAACCACAGACAACCAGAGATATTGGACAACCACAGACAACCAGAGATATTGGACAACCACAGACAACCAGAGATATTGGACAACCACAGACAACCAGAGATATTGGACAACCAGAGATATTGGACAACCACAGACAACCAGAGATATTGGACAACCACAGACAACCAGAGATATTGGACAACCACAGACAACCAGAGATATTGGACAACCACAGACAACCAGAGATAGTGGACAACCAGAGATATTGGACAACCACAGACAACCAGAGATATTTGACAACCAGAGATAGTGGACAACCACAGACAACCAGAGATAATGGACAACCACAGACAACCAGAGATAGTGGACAACCACAGACAACCAGAGATATTGGACAACCAGAGATATTGGACAACCACAGACAACCAGAGATATTGGACAACCACAGACAACCAGAGATATTGGACAAACACAGACAACCAGAGATATTGGACAACCAGAGATATTGGACAACCACAGACAACCAGAGATATTGGACAACCACAGACAACCAGAGATATTGGACAACCACAGACAACCAGAGATATTGGACAACCACAGACAACCAGAGATAGTGGACAACCAGAGATATTGGACAACCACAGACAACCAGAGATATTTGACAACCAGAGATAGTGGACAACCACAGACAACCAGAGATAATGGACAACCACAGACAACCAGAGATAGTGGACAACCACAGACAACCAGAGATATTGGACAACCACAGACAACCAGAGATATTGGACAACCACAGACAACCAGAGATAGTGGACAACCACAGACAACCAGAGATATTGGACAACCACAGACAACCAGAGATATTGGACAACCACAGACAACCAGAGATAGTGGACAACCACAGACAACCAGAGATATTGGACAACCACAGACAACCAGAGATATTGGACAACCACAGACAACCAGAGATAGTGGACAACCACAGACAACCATAGATATTGGACAACCACAGACAACCAGAGATATTGGACAACCACAGACAACCAGAGATAGTGGACAACCAGAGATATTGGACAACCACAGACAACCAGAGATATTTGACAACCAGAGATAGTGGACAACCACAGACAACCAGAGATAATGGACAACCACAGACAACCAGAGATAGTGGACAACCACAGACAACCAGAGATAGTGGACAACCACAGACAACCAGAGATATTGGACAACCACAGACAACCAGAGATATTGGACAACCACAGACAACCAGAGATATTGGACAACCACAGACAACCAGAGATATTGGACAACCACAGACAACCAGAGATAGTGGACAACCAGAGATATTGGACAACCACAGACAACCAGAGATATTTGACAACCAGAGATAGTGGACAACCACAGACAACCAGAGATAATGGACAACCACAGACAACCAGAGATAGTGGACAACCACAGACAACCAGAGATATTGGACAACCACAGACAACCAGAGATATTGGACAACCACAGACAACCAGAGATATTGGACAACCACAGACAACCAGAGATATTGGACAACCACAGACAACCAGAGATATTGGACAACCACAGACAACCAGAGATATTGGACAACCACAGACAACCATAGATAGTGGACAACCACAGACAACCAGAGATATTGGACAACCAGAGACAACTAGAGATATTGGACAACCACAGACAACCAGAGATAGTGGACAACCAGAGATATTGGACAACCACAGACAACCAGAGATAGTGGACAACCAGAGATAGTGGACAACCACAGACAACCAGAGATATTGGACAACCACAGACAACCAGAGATAGTGGACAACCAGAGATAGTGGACAACCACAGACAACCAGAGATATTGGACAACCACAGACAACCAGAGATATTGGACAACCACAGACAACCAGAGATATTGGACAACCACAGACAACCAGAGATATTGGACAACCACAGACAACCAGAGATAGTGGACAACCAGAGATATTGGACAACCACAGACAACCAGAGATATTGGACAACCACAGACAACCAGAGATATTGGACAACCACAGACAACCAGAGACAGTGGACAACCACAGACAACCAGAGATATTGGACAACCAGAGACAACCAGAGATATTGGACAACCACAGACAACCAGAGATATTGGACAACCACAGACAACCAGAGATATTGGACAACCACAGACAACCAGAGATATTGGACAACCACAGACAACCAGAGATAGTGGACAACCAGAGATAGTGGACAACCACAGACAACCAGAGATAGTGGACAACCACAGACAACCAGAGATATTGGACAACCACAGACAACCAGAGATAGTGGACAACCAGAGATATTGGACAACCACAGACAACCAGAGATATTGGACAACCACAGACAACCAGAGATAGTGGACAACCAGAGATAGTGGACAACCACAGACAACCAGAGATATTGGACAACCACAGACAACCAGAGATAGTGGACAACCAGAGATATTGGACAACCACAGACAACCAGAGATAATGGACAACCACAGACAACCAGAGATAGTGGACAACCAGAGATAGTGGACAACCACAGACATCCAGAGATAGTGGACACTTACCTAGTGGACAAACACACTTAAAACCATCCAATGAAGGGATACATGTGGCACCATTCAGGCAGATGTTTGAGGTGTTGGAACAAAAGTTGACCACCAGCTCACAACGCTCCCCAGTATAAGAAGCTGTCAGATATATTGGCATTACATGAACACAAACATTAGACTTGATATTACATGAACAACATCAGACTTACCATTACATGAGCACCAACACAAACATCAATTTTAACATCATTAAATGAACACAAACATTAGACAACATTAAATGAACACAAACATTAGACAACATTACATGAACACAAACATTAGACTTAATATTACATGAACAACATCAGACTTACCATTACATGAGCACCAACACAAACATCAATTTTAACATTACATGAACACAAACATAAAACTTAACATTACATGAACACAAACATCACTTACCATTAAATGAACACAAACATTACTTACCATTACATGAACACAAACATCACTTACCATTAAATGAACACAAACATTACTTAACATTACATGAACACAAACATAAAACTTAACATTACATGAACACAAACATCACTTACCATTACATGAACACAAACATCACTTACCATTACATGAACACAAACATTACTTACCATTACATGAACACAAACATTACTTACCATTACATGAACACAAACATTACTTACCATTACATGAACACAAACATCACTTACCATTACATGAACACAAACATTACTTACCATTACATGAACACAAACATCACTTACCATTACATGAACACAAACATTACTTACCATTACATGAACACAAACATTACTTACCATTACATGAACACAAACATTACTTACCATTACATGAACACAAACATTACTTACCATTACATGAACACAAACATCACTTACCATTACATGAACACAAACATTACTTACCATTACATGAACACAAACATTACTTACCATTACATGAACACAAACATCACTTACCATTACATGAACACAAACATCACTTACCATTACATGAACACAAACATTACTTACCATTACATGAACACAAACATTACTTACCATTACATGAACACAAACATTACTTACCATTACATGAACACAAACATTACTTACCATTACATGAACAGAGACTGTTTGGTTCAAGACAAGCACCTCCCAGACAAGGATTGGCAACCTGGCATACCGAGGTACTTGAGCTACAGTTTTTCCCAAAGGTATTGGGTCTACAGCTATATTTAAAAATGTGATCAGTTTAAAAAAGGTATTGGGTCTACAGCTATATTTAAAAATGTGATCAGTTTAAAAAAGGTATTGGGTCTACAGCTATATTTAAAAATGTGACCAGTTTAAAAAAAGGATTGGGTCTACAGCTATATAAATGTGATCAGTTAATATTTAAGCTGTAAATACTGCCCAACCTGCAGTAGTAGTCATCAAAGAGATCTGTGCAGGGTGCGGCATGAGAACAGGGTGTACTGCCACATTCGTTGATCTCCTCCTGACAGTTACCTCCCCTCCAGCCTCTGGGACAGTGACATTTATATCCGTTGACCAGATTCTCACACCCTGCGTCGTGTAGACAAGGCATGGGGGAGCACTCATCAACATCAATCTAGGCAGGGAGAGAAATGTTCCTAAACAACATTTGCTGGAAAATGAATGCCCAAAGAAACAAACAAGGCTCACAACAAAATGAATGCCCAAAGAAACAAACAAGGTTCACAAGACAACTGGAGCCTTACATACTGGTATCTTACCTGGCAAAAAGTTCCAGTGTAGCCTGGCTTGCATTCACAGGTGTATTGATTGAGCAGGTTACGACACTGACTTGTGTTGTTGACACTGCAGTTGTTTGTCTGACATTCATCAATGTCTACCTCACAACTGGGGCCTGAAACATTACACACATATATGGATGTATATCTTGATATAATATATGGATGTATATCTTGATATAATATATGGATGTATATCTTGATATAATATATGGATGTATATCTTGATATAATATATGGATGTATATCTTGATATAATATATGGATGTATATCTTGATATAATATATGGATGTATATCTTGATATAATAAATCAAGAATGCTAATCTTGTTCTTTTGAAAGTCATGCTATTCTTGTTCTTTTGAAAGTCATGCTATTCTTGTTCTATTGAAAGTCATGCTATTCTTGTCCTTTTGAAAGTCATGCTATTCTTGTTCTTTTGAAAGTCATGCTATTCTTGCCCTTTTGAAAGTCATGTGTTCCTTGTTCTATTGAAAGTCATGCCTTTCTTGTTCTTCTATCTTCGATTAAAATTAAGACAAAGAAACTTTTGCATGCCTAAAAAGTTAGTCCAGGCCAGAAAAGGGTTAAAGACAACTTTTATATTTCTAGGATTTTAGCTGGTGCAAATTGGGGATAAAACAGGAAAGATTACAAGAATGGTCAGAGTTTTATTAATGACAAATTAGGCTTACACTAATTGCTTTATAACTGATGCTACAATTGATCCAAATGCCAGTACAACCATACAGGTACATGCCATATATATATTTATATATATAGGCCAATGTAGAATTTTTAAAATAATAATAATAATGCATTGGAAAATAAAATATTTTTATTTTAATCAATGTGTGTACCACATTTAAGACAGTTACACAGCTTAATAACTGAGGGTATATGTTACACAGCTTAATAAATGGAAGTATGTGGGTGAGTGTGGTAGAACTAGACAAGTTGGCTACGTAAGGCTAGGTGATGAAACTAGCCAAGTGTGTGCGAGTAGGTGTGTATATATGTGTGTGTGTGTGTGCTATGGCGCATGAGTGTTGAGGTAGTTGTGGTTTGGCATGGTCAGACAATTATCCAATGGCCTTTTAAATAGAACCTATTTTTTATAATTTGGTAATCATGTTCACATCAACTAATGAATTAATTTTATTTAGTTTTAAGCATATAAATTTAATTACGTAGCCTATAAAGCATAATTGTAATTAGGCACTGTTTTGACGGTATTAAGTTGCCAAAGTCAACAAAGTGAAGAGTTGATCTGACAGTTCTATCGCCGGCTGCCTTTATTTTCCCTAACTTGTGACAGTTGGACACGTAACAGAAAATGTGTTTTTATAACAGTAAATGTGTTTTTATATCACTTGGAAAACTGATGTAAGTGTTTTAATGATGACAGCGTTTTGACCAAGTAATGACTGAAAAAAAATTGTGTTTAGTGGCAGAAAAATGGCAGGCTGTTATTGTGGTAGCTGTGTTGGGGGGGGGGGGGGGGGATCGGGGTAGATATTACATAATATGTGGGGGGAAAATGCTAAGGGAAAATTATTAAAACAACCCAGTAACTTTAAAAAAATTATTCTCCTTATTTTAACAAAATTTGGGTGGTCATAATTTTTGTAGCCGAAGTTTCAAACTCACTGAAGTGTGTAAATAGCGTTGTAAACTCATTGAAGTGTGTAAATAGTGTATTAAACTCATTGAAGTGTGTAAATAGCGTATCAAACTCATTGAAGTGTGTAAATAGCGTGAATTATTGAGCAGCCTTTAGAGCACAGATGTGATCTCTTACCTTGGTATCCTGTGCCTGTACAATCACAAGTGAAGCTGTTGACACCGTCTGTACAATTGCCACCATTTTGACAGGGCTGACTTCTGCACTCATCAATGTTGTGTTGACACACTGAGCCCCCATAACCTTCGGGGCAGGAGCATGTGGTGGACGCTCCACTGGACTTGCAAGTTCCATTATTGAAGCAAGGGTTGTTTAAACAAAGGTCTCTTGGTGAACAGCTCTGGTTCTTGAGGACTGAAAACATTTTCACACATCTCTCACAACTATACAACACTAAATAAATACAATCAGATATTTGTGTTTTATATTTTGTCATGTTTGTTTGAAATATTGGACTGTTGGTCCCACAGGCAAAATTTGATTTAGTAGACTAGGGCATACAGTCTGCCTTATTTGATGAGAAAAAAAAGTTTATAAACTTACCAACGGAATAATCCGTCTGTACATCACAAGCACAAATGAAAGAATTTTGAGCCTCGTCTTCAAAGCACTTGGAGTGGCCTCCACACTTGGTATCATTACATTCTAGAACTCTCTGCTGGCACTGGGGCCCAGCATATCCTGCAGCTGTGCTACAGTCACATGTAAACCTTCCTTCACCGTCAATACATGTCCCGTTATTGGCACAAGGGTTGGAGTAGCAGTCATCTAAATCAGAATCAATTCATTAGCTTTTATACAGTTATTGTGGGAGAAACAATTTAAAATATGTTTCATATGTAAGGCTAGGTGATGAAACTAGACAAGTTGGCTATTTAAGGCTAGGTGATGTATGTTGAAACACCATACCAACACTACTGTTACAGTTGAGGCCAGCATAACCAGGTGAGCAGATACAGGTGTAGCGGATGCCAAGAGACTTGCAGGTGCCACCGTTAAGGCAAGGCTGAGTAGAACAGAGGTCTTGGAAAGATTGACACCTTCAAATAGAGGGTAAGATTTATTGAACAAATGGACACATGCATACCACCTTACAGCAGTGAATGCCAGCTGTCATCTGTCCCTTACCATCTTACAGCAGTGAATGCAAGCTGTCATCTGTCCCTTACCATCTTACAGCAGTGAATGTAAGCTGTCATCTGTCCCTTACCATCTTATAGCAGTGAATGCAAGCTGTCATCTGTCCCTTACCATCTTATAGCAGTGAATGCAAGCTTTCATCTGTCCCTTACCATCTTACAGCAGTGAATGCAAGCTGTCATCTGTCCCTTACCATCTTACAGCAGTGAATGCAAGCTGTCATCTGTCCCTTACCATCTTACAGCAGTGAATGCAAGCTGTCATCTGTCCCTTACCATCTTACAGCAGTGAATGCAAGCTGTCATCTGTCCCTTACCATCTTACAGCAGTGAATGCAAGCTGTCATCTGTCCCTTACCATCTTACAGCAGTGAATGCAAGCTGTCATCTGTCCCTTACCATCTTACAGCAGTGAATGCAAGCTGTCATCTGTCCCTTACCATCTTACAGCAGTGAATGCAAGCTGTCATCTGTCCCTTACCATCTTACAGCAGTGAATGCAAGCTGTCATCTGTCCCTTACCATCTTACAGCAGTGAATGCAAGCTGTCATCTGTCCCTTACCATCTTACAGCAGTGAATGCAAGCTGTCCTTTACCATCTTACAGCAGTGAATGTAAGCTGTCATCTGTCCCTTACCACCTTACAGCAGTGAATGTAAGCTGTCCCTTACCTGTCTCCGCTGTACCCAGGTAAACAGTGACACCTGGCGGTGTTGACCAAATTCTCACACATGCCACCATTCTGACAATAGTTTTGGGTGCACGTCTTGTTGAGACCCTCACATAGGTAACCAAAAGTTCCTGTAATATTTGACACACAGAAAAACTTTACAAACAAGAAGCAATATTTTAAATAATATAATTGTAGAATTTACATTTAGTCATTATATAAGCCTACATGAATTTTTTTTTAAATGTCAGGATTGTTCAAATAGTTTTAAATGTTTTGCTGTTTATTTATTTCTTCTTCTTCAAAGATTTCCAGACAAAAGGTTTGGGTGGCTTACCTTGGGGACACAGACAGGTAAATTTGCTTACCTTGGGGACACAGACAGGTAAATTTGCTTACCTTGGGGACACAGACAGGTAAAGTTAAGTCCCTTTGATTGACATGTGCCACTGTTGTGACAAGGTGTGGAGGCACAGGGGTCAAAAGATTTATCACAATACTCTCCATACCAGCCTAGACAAGAGACAAAAGATTTATCACAATACTCTCCATACCAGCCTGGACATAGACAAAAGATTTATCACAATACTCTCCATACCAGCCTAGACAAGAGACAAAAGATTTATCACAATACTCTCCATACCAGCCTAGACATAGACAAAAGATTTATCACAATACTCTCCATACCAGCCTAGACATAGACAAAAGATTTATCACAATACTCTCCATACCAGCCTGGACATAGACAAAAGATTTATCACAATACTCTCCATACCAGCCTGGACATAGACAAAAGATTTATCACAATACTCTCCATACCAGCCTGGACATAGACAAAAGATTTATCACAATACTCTCCATACCAGCCTTGACATAGACAAAACAAAACAAACCTTCTAACACTATACAAACCTTCTAACACTATACAAACCTTCTAACACTATACAAACCTTCTAACACTATACAAACCTTCTAACACTATACAAACCTTCTAACACTATACAAACCTTCTAACACTATACAAACCTTCTAACACTATACAAACCTTCTAACACTATACAAACCTTCTAACACTATACAAACCTTCTAACACTATACAAACCTTCTAACACTATACAAACCTTCTAACACTATACAAACCTTCTAACACTATACAAACCTTCTAACACTATACAAACCTTCTAACACTATACAAACCTTCTAACACTATACAAATCTTTTACCACAGCTAATCATTATGAAAAAATAAAACTGTGGTGTTACATATACACATTCCTACAATCTAAGTCTACAGAAAGATGTTTTTTGACTGCTGGAGTTACCCAGCATGCCTCAGTTTTTAAAAATCTTACCTTGGTGACATACGCATGACATTGTGTGGGCCAAGATCTGCTGACAATCACCATTAATACACGTGCGGTTGCATGTTACTGATCCTGAAACAACAAACAGTTTGGTGAAACAACTTCAGAATCAGCAGAAATGAAAGTTTTTAGACAATAAGAGTAAACTGACATGAACTAAACTGAGCAGCACTGACCATTTAAACGGATACACTGGTTGACACTTGAACTGTTCATGTTTTCTGTGTACTCATCCTTCAAACATTCAGTACAGGACATTGACCCTGACTTGTCTGAGTAGAAATTTTTTGGGCAGGGAAGACAGGTGCCATGACCGTCAATCTCATTAAACTGTCCAGGTGGGCACGGAGCTGGTACGACAGGAACACAGGTGATATGACAGGAACACAGGTGATATGACAGGAACACAGGTGATATGACAGGAACACAGGTGATATGACAGGAACACAGGTGATATGACAGGAACACAGGTGATATGACAGGAACACAGGTGATATGACAGGAACACAGGTGATATGACAGGAACACAGGTGATATGACAGGAACACAGGTGATATGACAGGAACACAGGTGATAGGAACACAGGTGATATGACAGGAACACAGGTGATAGGAACACAGGTGATATGACAGGAACACAGGTGATAGGAACACAGGTGATATGACAGGAACACAGGTGATATGACAGGAACACAGGTGATAGGAACACAGGTGATATGACAGGAACACAGGTGATAGGAACACAGGTGATATGACAGGAACACAGGTGATAGGAACACAGGTGATATGACAGGAACACAGGTGATAGGAACACAGGTGATATGACAGGAACACAGGTGATATGACAGGAACACAGGTGATATGACAGGAACACAGGTGATAGGAACACAGGTGATAGGAACACAGGTGATATGACAGGAACACAGGTGATATGACAGGAACACAGGTGATATGACAGGAACACAGGTGATATGACAGGAACACAGGTGATATGGACAGGAACAGGTGATATGACAGGAACACAGGTGATATGACAGGAACACAGGTGATATGACAGGAACACAGGTGATATGACAGGAACACAGGTGATAGGAACACAGGTGATATGACAGGAACACAGGTGATATGACAGGAACACAGGTGATAGGAACACAGGTGATATGACAGGAACACAGGTGATATGACAGGAACACAGGTGATATGACAGGAACACAGGTGATAGGAACACAGGTGATATGACAGGAACACAGGTGATATGACAGGAACACAGGTGATACGACAGGAACACAGGTGAGAAGACAGGAACACAGGTGATATGACAGGAACACAGGTGATATGACAGGAACACAGGTGATATGACAGGAACACAGGTGATATGACAGGAACACAGGTGATATGACAGGAACACAGGTGACATGACAGGAACACAGGTGATATGACAGGAACACAGGTGATAGGAACACAGGTGATATGACAGGAACACAGGTGATATGACAGGAACACAGGTGATACGACAGGAACACAGGTGAGAAGACAGGAACACAGGTGATATGACAGGAACACAGGTGATAGGAACACAGGTGATATGACAGGAACACAGGTGATATGACAGGAACACAGGTGATATGACAGGAACACAGGTGATATGACAGGAACACAGGTGATATGACAGGAACACAGGTGATATGACAGGAACACAGGTGATAGGAAAACAGGTGATATGACAGGAACACAGGTGATATGACAGGAACACAGGTGATATGACAGGAACACAGGTGATATGACAGGAACACAGGTGATATGACAGGAACACAGGTGATATGACAGGAACACAGGTGATATGACAGGAACACAGGTGATATGACAGGAACACAGGTGATATGACAGGAACACAGGTGATATGACAGGAACACAGGTGATAGGAACACAGGTGATATGACAGGAACACAGGTGATAGGAACACAGGTGATATGACAGGAACACAGGTGATATGACAGGAACACAGGTGATAGGAACACAGGTGATATGACAGGAACACAGGTGATATGACAGGAACACAGGTGATACGACAGGAACACAGGTGAGAAGACAGGAACACAGGTGATATGACAGGAACACAGGTGATAGGAACACAGGTGATATGACAGGAACACAGGTGATAGGAACACAGGTGATATGACAGGAACACAGGTGATATGACAGGAACACAGGTGATACGACAGGAACACAGGTGAGAAGACAGGAACACAGGTGATATGACAGGAACACAGGTGATAGGAACACAGGTGATATGACAGGAACACAGGTGATAGGAACACAGGTGATATGACAGGAACACAGGTGATATGACAGGAACACAGGTGATACGACAGGAACACAGGTGAGAAGACAGGAACACAGGTGATATGACAGGAACACAGGTGATAGGAACACAGGTGATATGACAGGAACACAGGTGATATGACAGGAACACAGGTGATATGACAGGAACACAGGTGATATGACAGGAACACAGGTGATATGACAGGAACACAGGTGATAGGAAAACAGGTGATATGACAGGAACACAGGTGATATGACAGGAACACAGGTGATATGACAGGAACACAGGTGATATGACAGGAACACAGGTGATATGACAGGAACACAGGTGATATGACAGGAACACAGGTGATATGACAGGAACACAGGTGATATGACAGGAACACAGGTGATATGACAGGAACACAGGTGATATGACAGGAACACAGGTGATATGACAGGAACACAGGTGATATGACAGGAACACAGGTGATATGACAGGAACACAGGTGATATGACAGGAACACAGGTGATATGACAGGAACACAGGTGATATGACAGGTGATATGACAGGAACACAGGTGATATGACAGGAACACAGGTGATAGGAACACAGGTGATATGACAGGAACACAGGTGATATGACAGGAACACAGGTGATATGACAGGAACACAGGTGATATGACAGGAACACAGGTGATATGACAGGAACACAGGTGATATGACAGGAACACAGGTGATAGGAACACAGGTGATATGACAGGAACACAGGTGATAGGAACACAGGTGATATGACAGGAACACAGGTGATATGACAGGAACACAGGTGATAGGAACACAGGTGATATGACAGGAACACAGGTGATATGACAGGAACACAGGTGATACGACAGGAACACAGGTGAGAAACAGGAACACAGGTGATATGACAGGAACACAGGTGATAGGAACACAGGTGATATGACAGGAACACAGGTGATATGACAGGAACACAGGTGATATGACAGGAACACAGGTGATATGACAGGAACACAGGTGATATGACAGGAACACAGGTGATATGACAGGAACACAGGTGATAGGAAAACAGGTGATATGACAGGAACACAGGTGATATGACAGGAACACAGGTGATATGACAGGAACACAGGTGATATGACAGGAACACAGGTGATATGACAGGAACACAGGTGATATGACAGGAACACAGGTGATATGACAGGAACACAGGTGATATGACAGGAACACAGGTGATATGACAAGAACACAGGTGATATGACAGGAACACAGGTGATATGACAGAAACACAGGTGATATGACAGGAACACAGGTGATATGACAGGAACACAGGTGATATGACAGGAACACAGGTGATATGACAGGAACACAGGTGATATGACAGGAACACAGGTGATATGACAGGAACACAGGTGATAGGAACACAGGTGATATGACAGGAACACAGGTGATATGACAGGAACACAGGTGATAGGAACACAGGTGATATGACAGGAACACAGGTGATATGACAGGAACACAGGTGATATGACAGGAACACAGGTGATATGACAGGAACACAGGTGATATGGACAGGAACAGGTGATATGACAGGAACACAGGTGATATGACAGGAACACAGGTGATATGACAGGAACACAGGTGATATGACAGGAACACAGGTGATATGACAGGAACACAGGTGATATGACAGGAACACAGGTGATATGACAGGAACACAGGTGATATGACAGGAACACAGGTGATATGACAGGAACACAGGTGATATGACAGGAACACAGGTGATATGACAGGAACACAGGTGATATGACAGGAACACAGGTGATATGACAGGAACACAGGTGATATGACAGGAACACAGGTGATAGGAACACAGGTGATATGACAGGTGATATGACAGGAACACAGGTGATATGACAGGAACACAGGTGATAGGAACACAGGTGATATGACAGGAACACAGGTGATATGACAGGAACACAGGTGATAGGAACACAGGTGATATGACAGGAACACGGGTGATAGGAACACAGGTGATATGACAGGAACACAGGTGATAGGAACACAGGTGATATGACAGGAACACAGGTGATAGGAACACAGGTGATATGACAGGAACACAGGTGATATGACAGGAACACAGGTGATAGGAACACAGGTGATATGACAGGAACACAGGTGATATGACAGGAACACAGGTGATACGACAGGAACACAGGTGAGAAGACAGGAACACAGGTGATATGACAGGAACACAGGTGATATGACAGGAACACAGGTGATATGACAGGAACACAGGTGATATGACAGGAACACAGGTGATATGACAGGAACACAGGTGACATGACAGGAACACAGGTGATATGACAGGAACACAGGTGATATGACAGGAACACAGGTGATAGGAACACAGGTGATATGACAGGAACACAGGTGATATGACAGGAACACAGGTGATACGACAGGAACACAGGTGAGAAGACAGGAACACAGGTGATATGACAGGAACACAGGTGATAGGAACACAGGTGATATGACAGGAACACAGGTGATATGACAGGAACACAGGTGATATGACAGGAACACAGGTGATATGACAGGAACACAGGTGATATGACAGGAACACAGGTGATATGACAGGAACACAGGTGATAGGAAAACAGGTGATATGACAGGAACACAGGTGATATGACAGGAACACAGGTGATATGACAGGAACACAGGTGATATGACAGGAACACAGGTGATATGACAGGAACACAGGTGATATGACAGGAACACAGGTGATATGACAGGAACACAGGTGATATGACAAGAACACAGGTGATATGACAGGAACACAGGTGATATGACAGGAACACAGGTGATAGGAAAACAGGTGATATGACAGGAACACAGGTGATATGACAGGAACACAGGTGATATGACAGGAACACAGGTGATATGACAGGAACACAGGTGATATGACAGGAACACAGGTGATATGACAGGAACACAGGTGATATGACAGGAACACAGGTGATATGACAAGAACACAGGTGATATGACAGGAACACAGGTGATATGACAGGAACACAGGTGATATGACAGGAACACAGGTGATATGACAGGAACACAGGTGATATGACAGGAACACAGGTGATATGACAGGAACACAGGTGATAGGAACACAGGTGATATGACAGGAACACAGGTGATAGGAACACAGGTGATATGACAGGAACACAGGTGATATGACAGGAACACAGGTGATAGGAACACAGGTGATATGACAGGAACACAGGTGATATGACAGGAACACAGGTGATACGACAGGAACACAGGTGAGAAGACAGGAACACAGGTGATATGACAGGAACACAGGTGATAGGAACACAGGTGATATGACAGGAACACAGGTGATATGACAGGAACACAGGTGATATGACAGGAACACAGGTGATATGACAGGAACACAGGTGATAGGAACACAGGTGATATGACAGGAACACAGGTGATATGACAGGAACACAGGTGATACGACAGGAACACAGGTGAGAAGACAGGAACACAGGTGATATGACAGGAACACAGGTGATAGGAACACAGGTGATATGACAGGAACACAGGTGATATGACAGGAACACAGGTGATATGACAGGAACACAGGTGATATGACAGGAACACAGGTGATATGACAGGAACACAGGTGATAGGAAAACAGGTGATATGACAGGAACACAGGTGATATGACAGGAACACAGGTGATATGACAGGAACACAGGTGATATGACAGGAACACAGGTGATATGACAGGAACACAGGTGATATGACAGGAACACAGGTGATATGACAGGAACACAGGTGATATGACAGGAACACAGGTGATATGACAAGAACACAGGTGATATGACAGGAACACAGGTGATATGACAGAAACACAGGTGATATGACAGGAACACAGGTGATATGACAGGAACACAGGTGATATGACAGGAACACAGGTGATATGACAGGAACACAGGTGATATGACAGGAACACAGGTGATATGACAGGAACAGGTGATATGACAGGAACACAGGTGATATGACAGGAACACAGGTGATATGACAGGAACACAGTTGATATGACAGGAACACAGGTGATATGACAGGAACAGGTGATAGGAACACAGGTGATATGACAGGAACACAGGTGATAGGAACACAGGTGATATGACAGGAACACAGGTGATATGACAGGAACAGGTGATATGACAGGAACACAGGTGATATGACAGGAACACAGGTGATATGACAGGAACACAGGTGATATGACAGGAACACAGGTGATATGACAGGAACACAGGTGATAGGAACACAGGTGATATGACATGAACACAGGTGATATGACAGGAACACAGGTGATAGGAACACAGGTGATATGACAGGAACACAGGTGATATGACAGGAACACAGGTGATATGACAGGAACACAGGTGATATGACAGGAACACAGGTGATATGACAGGAACACAGGTGATATGACAGGAACACAGGTGATATGACAGGAACACAGGTGATATGACAGGAACACAGGTGATATGACAGGAACACAGGTGATATGACAGGAACACAGGTGATAGGAACACAGGTGATATGACAGGAACACAGGTGATATGACAGGAACACAGGTGATAGGAACACAGGTGATATGACAGGAACACAGGTGATATGACAGGAACACAGGTGATATGACAGGAACACAGGTGATATGACAGGAACACAGGTGATATGACAGGAACACAGGTGATAGGAACACAGGTGATATGACAGGAACACAGGTGATATGACAGGAACACAGGTGATATGACAGGAACACAGGTGATATGACAGGAACACAGGTGATATGACAGGAACACAGGTGATATGACAGGAACACAGGTGATATGACAGGAACACAGGTGATATGACAGGAACACAGGTGATATGACAGGAACACAGGTGATATGACAGGAACACAGGTGATATGACAGGAACACAGGTGATATGACAGGAACACAGGTGATATGACAGGAACACAGGTGATATGACAGGAACACAGGTGATATGACAGGAACACAGGTGATATGACAGGAACACAGGTGATATGACAGGAACACAGGTGATATGACAGGAACACAGGTGATATGACAGGAACACAGGTGATATGACAGGAACACAGGTGATATGATATGACAGGAACACAGGTGATAGGAACACAGGTGATATGACAGGAACACAGGTGATATGACAGGAACACAGGTGATATGACAGGAACACAGGTGATATGACAGGAACACAGGTGATATGACAGGAACACAGGTGATATGACAGGAACACAGGTGATATGACAGGAACACAGGTGATATGACAGGAACACAGGTGATATGACAGGAACACAGGTGATATGACAGGAACACAGGTGATATGACAGGAACACAGGTGATATGACAGGAACACAGGTGATATGACAGGAACACAGGTGATATGACAGGAACACAGGTGATAGGAACACAGGTGATATGACAGGAACACAGGTGATATGACAGGAACACAGGTGATATGACAGGAACACAGGTGATATGACAGGAACACAGGTGATAGGAACACAGGTGATATGACAGGAACACAGGTGATATGACAGGAACACAGGTGATAGGAACACAGGTGATATGACAGGAACACAGGTGATATGACAGGAACACAGGTGATATGACAGGAACACAGGTGATATGACAGGAACACAGGTGATATGACAGGAACACAGGTGATATGACAGGAACACAGGTGATATGACAAGAACACAGGTGATATAACAGGAACACAGGTGATATGACAGGAACACAGGTGATATGACAGGAACACAGGTGATATGACAGGAACACAGGTGATATGACAGGAACACAGGTGATATGACAGGAACACAGGTGATATGACAGGAACACAGGTGATATGACAGGAACACAGGTGATATGACAGGAACACAGGTGATATGACAGGAACACAGGTGATATGACAGGAACACAGGTGATATGACAGGAACACAGGTGATATGACAGGAACACAGGTGATATGACAGGAACACAGGTGATATGACAGGAACACAGGTGATATGACAGGAACACAGGTGATAGGAACACAGGTGATATGACAGGAACACAGGTGATATGACAGGAACACAGGTGATATGACAGGAACACAGGTGATATGACAGGAACACAGGTGATATGACAGGAACACAGGTGATATGACAGGAACACAGGTGATATGACAGGAACACAGGTGATATGACAGGAACACAGGTGATATGACAGGAACACAGGTGATATGACAGGAACACAGGTGATATGACAGGAACACAGGTGATATGACAGGAACACAGGTGATATGACAGGAACACAGGTGATAGGAACACAGGTGATATGACAGGAACACAGGTGATATGACAGGAACACAGGTGATATGACAGGAACACAGGTGATATGACAGGAACACAGGTGATATGACAGGAACACAGGTGATATGACAGGAACACAGGTGATATGACAGGAACACAGGTGATAGGAACACAGGTGATATGACAGGAACACAGGTGATATGACAGGAACACAGGTGATAGGAACACAGGTGATATGACAGGAACACAGGTGATATGACAGGAACACAGGTGATATGACAGGAACACAGGTGATAGGAACACAGGTGATATGACAGGTGATATGACAGGAACACAGGTGATATGACAGGAACACAGGTGATATGACAGGAACACAGGTGATATGACAGGAACACAGGTGATATGACAGGAACATGTGATATAACAGGAACACAGGTGATATGACAGGAACACATGTGATATGACAGGTGATATGACAGGAACACAGGTGATATGACAGGTGATATGACAGGTGAGATGACAGGAACATTTGATATGACAGGAACACAGGTGATATGACAGGAACACAGGTGATATGACAGGAACACAGGTGATATGACAGGAACACAGGTGATATGAAATACAGCAAGAAACACTAAGGTAAGCGCAGCTCAACTGACTATTCTAGACTCTAGAGATGTTTAATATGTGAGTGAGCAACTCTTTCAAATGTAAACACTCAACATGAGTTTTTTCTGAGCGCTTACCCTGGTTTCATTTTTTCTATAAGATGTCTACAGTCAGTGTATGGTGTGTTGATAAAGAATTTTAAATAAGTGCCTGTGTAATGATACTGGTCATAGATAAAAGATGATACTGTTCCTATCTTGCTAGAGAAACTACAAAAAGAAAAGATCAATGGCTACCTAAACATTCCAGTTTGGTCTTAGCGCCCTTGGTTCTTGTGATGGTGTTGTTGGGACAAGGTTCACAACTGCTGGCATTTGTCCAGTAGGTGTGGACTGGACAGAAACTACACGGAGGTAGACTGGTGCTGTTAGATATTGCTCCTGCACTGCATTGGGCTAAATTTTAAGGCTAATTAGTTTTTATATCGAAAATTAAAATATCAAATAAATTCAAACATTTATTCATTAAGAGTGTATCTTAATTAGGCACCATCACCACAATAAATTCTATGAGACCAACACACCTGAACACACTACATGAGACCAAAACACAGTACATGAGACCAACAAACACAGTACATGAGACCAACAAACACAGTACATGAGACCAACAAACACACTACATGAGACCAACAAACACACTACATGAGACCAACAAACACAGTACATGAGACCAACAAACACACTACATGAGACCAACAAACACACTACATGAGACCAACAAACACAGTACATGAGACCAACAAACACACTACATGAGACCAACAAACACACTACATGAGACCAACAAACACACTACATGAGACCAACAAACACAGTACATGAGACCAAAACACAGTACATGAGACCAACAAAAACACTACATGAGACCAACAAACACAGTACATGAGACCAACAAACACACTACATGAGACCAACAAACACAGTACATGAGACCAACAAACACACTACATGAGACCAACAAACACACTACATGAGACCAACAAACACAGTACATGAGACCAACAAACACAGTACATGAGACCAACAAACACAGTACATGAGACCAACAAACACAGTAGATGAGACCAAAACACAGTACATGAGACCAACAAACACACTACATGAGACCAACAAACACAGTAGATGAGACCAACAAACACAGTACATGAGACCAACAAACACACTACATGAGACCAACAAACACAGTACATGAGACCAACAAACACAGTACATGAGACCAACAAACACAGTACATGAGACCAACAAACACAGTACATGAGACCAACAAACACACTACATGAGACCAACAAACACAGTACATGAGACCAACAAACACAGAACATGAGACCAACAAACACAGTACATGAGACCAACAAACACACTACATGAGACCAACAAACACAGTACATGAGACCAACAAACACACTACATGAGACCAACAAACACACTACATGAGACCAACAAACACAGTACATGAGACCAACAAACACAGTACATGAGACCAACAAACACACTACATGAGACCAACAAACACAGTACATGAGACCAACAAACACAGAACATGAGACCAACAAACACACTACATGAGACCAACAAACACAGTACATGAGACCAACAAACACAGTACATGAGACCAACAAACACACTACATGAGACCAACAAACACACTACATGAGACCAAAACACACTACATGAGACCAACAAACACAGTACATGAGACCAACAAACACACTACATGAGACCAACAAACACAGTACATGAGACCAACAAACACAGTACATGAGACCAACAAACACACTACATGAGACCAACAAACACACTACATGAGACCAACAAACACAGTACATGAGACCAACAAACACAGTACATGAGACCAACAAACACAGTACATGAGACCAACAAACACACTACATGAGACCAACAAACACACTACATGAGACCAACAAACACAGTACATGAGACCAACAAACACAGTACATGAGACCAACAAACACACTACATGAGACCAACAAACACAGTACATGAGACCAACAAACACAGTACATGAGACCAACAAACACAGTACATGAGACCAACAAACACACTACATGAGACCAACAAACACAGTACATGAGACCAACAAACACAGTACATGAGACCAACAAACACAGTACATGAGACCAACAAACACACTACATGAGACCAACAAACACACTACATGAGACCAACAAACACAGTACATGAGACCAACAAACACAGTACATGAGACCAACAAACACAGTACATGAGACCAACAAACACACTACATGAGACCAACAAACACACTACATGAGACCAACAAACACAGTACATGAGACCAACAAACACAGTACATGAGACCAACAAACACAGTACATGAGACCAACAAACACAGTACATGAGACCAACAAACACAGTACATGAGACCAACAAACACACTACATGAGACCAACAAACACACTACATGAGACCAACAAACACAGTACATGAGACCAACAAACACAGTACATGAGACCAACAAACACAGTACATGAGACCAACAAACACAGTACATGAGACCAACAAACACAGTACATGAGACCAACAAACACAGTACATGAGACCAACAAACACAGTACATGAGACCAACAAACACACTACATGAGACCAACAAACACAGTACATGAGCAACAAACACAGTACATGAGACCAACAAACACAGTACATGAGACCAACAAACACACTACATGAGACCAACAAACACACTACATGAGACCAACAAACACACTACATGAGACCAACAAACACACTACATGAGACCAACAAACACAGTACATGAGACCAACAAACACAGTACATGAGACCAACAAACACACTACATGAGACCAACAAACACACTACATGAGACCAACAAACACAGTACATGAGACCAACAAACACAGTACATGAGACCAACAAACACAGTACATGAGACCAACAAACACACTACATGAGACCAACAAACACACTACATGAGACCAACAATCACAGTACATGAGACCAACAAACACAGTAGATGAGACCAACAAACACACTACATGAGACCAACAAACACAGTAGATGAGACCAACAAACACACTACATGAGACCAACAAACACACTACATGAGACCAACAAACACACTACATGAGACCAACAAACACACTACATGAGACCAACAAACACACTACATGAGACCAACAAACACACTACATGAGACCAACAAACACACTACATGAGACCAACAAACACACTACATGAGACCAACAAACACAGTAGATGAGACCAACAAACACACTACATGAGACCAACAAACACACTACATGAGACCAACAAACACACTACATGAGACCAACAAACACACTACATGAGACCAACAAACACACTACATGAGACCAACAAACACAGTACATGAGACCAACAAACACACTACATGAGACCAACAAACACACTACATGAGACCAACAAACACAGTACATGAGACCAACAAACACAGTAGATGAGACCAACAAACACAGTAGATGAGACCAACAAACACACTACATGAGACCAACAAACACAGTAGATGAGACCAACAAACACAGTACATGAGACCAACAAACACAGTACATGAGACCAACAAACACGACCAACAAACACACTACATGAGACCAACAAACACAGTAGATGAGACCAACAAACACAGTACATGAGACCAACAAACACACTACATGAGACCAACAAACACAGTACATGAGACCAACAAACACACTACATGAGACCAACAAACACAGTACATAAGACCAACAAACACAGAACATGAGACCAACAAACACAGTACATGAGACCAACAAACACAGTACATGAGACCAACAAACACAGTACATGAGACCAACAAACACACTACATGAGACCAACAAACACAGTACATGAGACCAACAAACACAGTACATGAGACCAACAAACACAGTACATGAGACCAACAAACACACTACATGAGACCAACAAACACAGTACATGAGACCAAAACACAGTACATGAGACCAACAAACACACTACATGAGACCAACAAACACAGTACATGAGACCAACAAACACAGTACATGAGACCAACAATCACAGTAGATGAGACCAACAAACACACTACATGAGACCAACAAACACACTACATGAGACCAACAAACACAGTACATGAGACCAACAAACACAGTACATGAGACCAACAAACACACTACATGAGACCAACAAACACAGTACATGAGACCAACAAACACAGAACATGAGACCAACAAACACAGTACATGAGACCAACAAACACACTACATGAGACCAACAAACACACTACATGAGACCAACAAACACAGTAGATGAGACCAACAAACACAGTAGATGAGACCAACAAACACAGTACATGAGACCAACAAACACAGTACATGAGACCAACAAACACAGTACATGAGACCAACAAACACAGTACATGAGACCAACAAACACACTACATGAGACCAACAAACACACTACATGAGACCAACAAACACAGTAGATGAGACCAACAAACACAGTACATGAGACCAAAACACAGTACATGAGACCAACAAACACACTACATGAGACCAACAAACACACTACATGAGACCAACAAACACAGTAGATGAGACCAACAAACACAGTAGATGAGACCAACAAACACAGTACATGAGACCAACAAACACACTACATGAGACCAACAAACACAGTACATGAGACCAACAAACACACTACATGAGACCAACAAACACACTACATGAGACCAACAAACACACTACATGAGACCAACAAACACACTACATGAGACCAACAAACACACTACATGAGACCAACAAACACACTACATGAGACCAACAAACACAGTACATGAGACAAACAAACACAGTACATGAGACCAACAAACACAGTACATGAGACCAACAAACACAGTACATGAGACCAACAAACACACTACATGAGACCAACAAACACACTACATGAGACCAACACACCTGAACACACTACATGAGACCAACAAACACAGTACATGAGACCAAAACACAGTACATGAGACCAACAAACACAGTACATGAGACCAACAAACACAGAACATGAGACCAACAAACACACTACATGAGACCAACAAACACAGTACATGAGACCAACAAACACACTACATGAGACCAACAAACACACTACATGAGACCAACAAACACAGAACATGAGACCAACAAACACAGTAGATGAGACCAACAAACACAGTACATGAGACCAACAAACACAGTACATGAGACCAACAAACACAGTACATGAGACCAACAAACACAGTAGATGAGACCAACAAACACAGTACATGAGACCAACAAACACACTACATGAGACCAACAAACACACTACATGAGACCAAAACACAGTACATGAGACCAACAAACACA